GCTAATTTCTAGGGCAGATTACTCAATTTGTTTAATTGAAGACGCAGTTCGTCGTTTTGAGATAAAGTGTACAGCAGAAGGTAAGCAATCATAATAAAACAAGTGAAGTAATATCAGTTTGTGGGAAGTGTTTAAAACCTGCAAAGAGCGGCCAAATGACCTTTTCTAATTTCTTTGTTTTAAATCGTAATATAATTCATAGACGTACACAAACAATTTTTCTCTTTTCAATCATTTTAAATCCTAATGTAACTCAAAGCCAAAGCCAAAGCGACATCTACTATGGCTCCAGAAGGATCCATACCGATCCATACTGTCGAGTTCAGGCGAGAGGCGAAAATATAGACAGCCAAACGCGAAGGTTTCTGATTTATTTATTTATTTTTTGTCCCTCTCTTGTTATGGGCCCTCAACAGGTTTTCGCCCAATTACAGAGTGACCCGCATAGTGCTTTTTCGAAGTGTCCCTGCAGACAGCAGAAGGCCTTAAGTTGTTCTATATTACTCCGGTATTTACCTTACGAATTAGGAAAACTGCAGGAAAACCTAATTAGAAGTAGGTACCCGGCAGAATGCTCGAAAAAGGTCTAAGGAAATTCCAGGGGAAATTCTCATCTCGCCACAGATGAAAAATTTACCTCGACTCGGGTTCGAACACCCGACCTCCCGGCTTTGTAGCCCAACTTCCTGCCACTGAGCCACACAGACGGTGACGCAGTAAACGCGAAGTGAAGGGGTGCAGCCGCCGAAGCCGCACTTACTTTCCATCCGAGAGCAGGATCTTTGGGCGAGGTGTGACGGTGCAGCCGCGTAGTGTAGACCTGGCTTATGTTCCATCCGGGAGCGGAACATTGACTGAACGAAGTTAGCCGGGTCTGCTAGTACATATGTAAAATATAATGCAATGCAAGGATATTTCACCATCGGACCAATTCAAAATTGTTAGGTGTTTGCAACGCCTATCACAGTGTTCAAGTTGCAGGAATTATTTGTTCATAAAAATTGGCGACCCACTATACAAAAATCGACCGGTTTTTGCTTCTGATCTTTAAATAGTATATTATATACCGCGGGACTGAAGTAGTACTTTTAATCCCGAAGGTAAAGTTTATGGCCCGACCGAAGGGAGGGCCATAATTTACCTGAGGGATTAAGAACACTACTTCAGTCGCAAGGTATATACGATATTTTTCGTACTTCCGAAACTGAAACACTTAATATGTATGGAGTTAGAGAACGCGTTCTTTCAAAAATCGCTCCTTAACAAGTTACCATAGGAACGTTGCGTTGGTACGACAATTCCTATGCTGTGGTAACAAAAATAATTTGGAAACTGTCATTGCTAGTGTCATAATTTTGGTGGTGGGTGACAAAAGTGTATTTGATATTCATAAAAAGCAGCCAAAGTAGGTAAAGAATTGATACCACCGAAATCCAAAAAACTATATGAGCAGCAGTATGATGCGTTTAAGAAGTAGTACCGCATACAAAATGTGGAACAACCTACTGAAATTGCCTTGTTAGTAATTTCATCCTTCCGGGATTTTCGTCAAAATTTAATCCCGGCGGGACAAAAAGTGACACTTCAGTACTTGTCATAATGGAGTGAAGTGGCCACTTTAGTCTCGGAAGTACGAAAAAAAATGTTAGCGTTATACATTATTCATAGTTCCTGTAGTTGGAGGAGCGCCGACTTTAACTTGAGTTACAATTACTTAATGCTGGTTCTTTCTGAATTAAATTCATTGTTAAGAGATAAGATTTCATGTCTATTCGTCCGGGACCGGTACCATAATAGTAGGAGATCCCACGAAGCTAAATGGGAATTTACTTAAGCATCGTAGCAATCTATTGAACTTTGTAGATGAGATGGTAGAAAGAAAAAACGATATGATCCACCAGTGGGGGGCGCGTCTACACTTTTTTAATAATGTACAAAAAAATAGTCACATGAAAATACTCGATGGCGTCAGATATTGATACGTATATACCCCTCGTGTCCCTGATATTGGAGGTATGTTAATATGCCGGTTTGCATTGTGGGTGATGCTATACGGAAGAGTAGAAAATTGTATTTATTGGCGCGCGTCCGATTTTAAGAGCAATGTACTCCTATGTAAAAAATATCGATATGGACGTTGATTTTTTGGTCCAGACGTCTGAACTTACTGACCGGTCATTAATAATTGCTAGGTAATCAAATTTTTGTTTCTTGTTATCTAATTAGCTGGTTGGGTTTTTATGCGTAAACAAAAAGCGAGTATTGGCGTATTGCGTTTCTATTTGTGTCCCAAGTGGTTTGTTTTGTATTGTTTGGTTGTAAAAATGTTTTCCTAGAATTGTTAAATGTAGAGCAATTTCTCTCTTATTTTCATTATCAATTTTACTTTGTTAAATCATTTATGTGATAGTTCTAATTTATGGACATTGATAATTTTTATAAAATGTAATTTATTATTATTAGCAATAAGAATGCACTTAATCGACCAAAAAATTGCGTGTTTTCGTAGAAAATTGTTATCTGAAATAATATAATTCTGCGTAAAATTTTAATACATACGTGACTACACGAGCGTCAAGAAACGTTCAGATTGGTTGTCATGTTGCTAGGTCCCGTTAATTGGATGAAGTTTTTCGAATTGTAAAAAATAGAGAAAACACGTTAGATACTGGAGTTGGTCTTTTGCTAATTTCGAAGCTAAGTTGCTGTTCGAGTGAAATCTTTGAGAAGACGTACGTACAAGTTTGGTTGGAGCAGTTTTTAATTGAAGTTGTCGTCTACTGTTTACGGACAGCCATCGTTTTATCTGTCGTGGTTGGCCAGCCAGTTTAATTCAAATTAAGTAAAATTACGTCTCTGCGACCTGATGAGAAGATAAGTTAAAGAAGAAAAAGTTTTGTTAAGTGCGTTTTTTCTATCTTAATTAGGGGTTTGTTTGCCGGATTTTTTGGGGTTTTAACAGAAAACTGTATGCAGGTTTAAGATCTCATTATTTGTTTAATTGTAATAGAACGCTTAAGCGGGGTGTGTAAACGGACCTTGTTATAGTCAATTTTGATTGTTGGAATATTTTGCTCAATTTAATTCGTGTGGCGAAAATAAATGATGTTTGTGTGAATTCATGTAAATCGTGGGTTTATTCGAACCCTTTAACGATTTAGATAAATGTCTCATGCTCAATTATGATTAATTTTGTTGATAAGTATCAAAAGTTTGTGTCCGATGTCTTCAAAATTTGTGTAAATTAAATAAAAATAAATGGAATTTAAGGAATTTTGATCACGGCCATTATTTGTCAAGTTTGGAATTTGGAGTCGAGATTGACATTTTGTTATTGTGCCGGGAATCGGCTTAAGAGAAAGAGAACAAGCTATGTTTAAGGTGCTTTATAGGTACATGATTCATTTTGGCCGGGTCATTAGGTACAATTATTTTTTATGGGGCTCGAACTTAGAGTCACAGCAGTACGTATAATTTTTTACAGGAACGCCTACGATCTCAATCAACTGACATGCTTCAACTGCTGAACGCATTGAACTTTATTGAGGATTTTGTCCACGTTGGCGTGTGCAAAATGTAATACTGTCATGATGGTGGTCGCTAAACGGTCAAAATTCGCACATTTTTATTTTATTTCCCATTAAGTCGGCATCCCGTGTAGTTGGTCAGTTTTTGAGGCACATCAATCCAATATCTTAAAAAAAGCTATTTATTTTGTTTGTGTTTTTTTCATCCTTGTAGTATGGACATAAATTTTCCATATTGATCCACGCGGTTCTTTTACATTAATTAAATTTGGTCCTCAACTTCATAAATGTTATGTAAACTAGGCGGGTCCACATCAAGCGCGCCGATCCGCGCCGTGCCGCGCCAAACGCTTGCGAACGTTGTCGCGCTTTTAATGTGGACGGGTTACCGCGCACAAACGCACAACAACAAGCACGAACAAACGTTCGCAAACATTATCCACTTGTTGTCGGTACATCAAAGAAATTGCGTGTTTGTGCGCGTTCGATTTGGACGAGATGATCACCTATTTACGAATTGAACAAACGCACAACTTGTGGAACCTTTCCGAGCATAGCCAAACGTGCGCGCATTTGCTCTGTTCAGACAATTCTCCAAACATACACGAATTTTGTTCGCGAACGTTCGAAAACGTTTGGCACGGCAAGGCGCGGATGGCGCGCTTGATGTGGACCCGCCTTAAGCTTTAGCCAATATTCAGTTCGAAAAAATAAAAGGATTAATCAACGCTCGTTTCAATACAATGTTTTGCTAATTTGCCAAAATACTAAACTCCATTTCACGCCTGTTACTATTCATAATTGGATTAAATAGAACAAAATTAGCTTTTCCGATAAGCTACCTCATTTCAGATTGAACCTGCAATAGCAATTAATTTGTGAAGCTGAACCGCGTTGAAGAGATATTCAGTAGCTGTTTGTACGACTTTCAAAACCGTTATTTGAAATCGAGACTGCTGAGCGATAATTTATTGGAATAGAAAATGTTTAATTAATTTGACAAGTTATTGGTTAGCTTGAGTACCGAATTCATGCCCACTTAAACATTAATATTCAATAAATTTATCACACATACACGTTAGATGTAAGATTAATATTTCAAAATAATTAATTAGCATGATGTATTAAAAAACTGTATGTCAGAATCTGATTGGTAATGCAAACACTACGACCGTTAATTAAGGTACATACCTAGTTAGTTTTATGTCGTGGTTAGCACGAAGGTATCTATTTTTGGGCGTTTTTAATTAAAATTTGGCCATAATCTCGTCGATATTGAAAAATGAATCTTGATTATAGCGAGAAGAAAAGCCGAATTAGATATGATAATAATGTAACCTGATCGGACCGCTAACAAATTTTTACTGAGAATGGTGGCATAATTCTCAAAAATACTAAGACAGATGTTAAACTGCTTCATAATACGTGGCAATTATATACGCTTCGTACAGTAGCTACAAGGCAGGTACGTACCTTTTAGTATTTACCACATAATTATCGGGTACCATTAATTGGTAATTTAGCGTGCAATTCAGAGCAGCAAGCAGACCGGTAGCCCGAGACCGCCTTTGTAATAACAAACTAAACACGAATGTTCTCTGCCCCTTTTAATAGAGGCAATATTTACTGTCTCTCTTTACGCGATTGTTGCATGGCGATTAGCCTACGTTAAATTTAACATTTTTTTACAATGTCCATTTGAAAACTATGGCAAATTTTCTGTTCGTCTGTGTTATCATTTACTTTATATGACGGAAACTGTATATGGCGATCTCATAAAAATGATTATTATTAATTTTTATCTTCCGTTATGATTATCAGAATTCTTTTATAGTGAAAACAAATACGCCTACACTTGTATTTGTAATTTCACGGTTATGAATTTGATAAGTATAAATGTAAATTGAAATTGAATTTAATTTAATTAATTGTTATTGAGTAAATTATTTCTAATTTAACGATCTTATTTATCGGTATAAGATAAAAGCTACCTAATACATTAAATTACGCCATTCATATATGATACTATAATATTTATTATGGTAATAAAATTGTAACTGCCCGTAATCTGAAGAATAGATGTTCGCATTTTATCCCATCCTTCTTTCGTAACCTGAACGGGATAGGAAATGAAGCCTTCTGTTCTCTGTTCTGGGGATAACCGCTATCATAATAACACCGGAACACAACGGGCAGCTAATTAATAATGTGTCTTTTATTAGCGCATTTTCCTCAAAGTGAAAAATCACTATTGGCTGCACTTGATCGTCCGTCCGTCCGTCACACGTACTTCTTCTACACCACTGAACCGATTTGGGCGATATAGGACTCATTTGAAAGGGCTTGGTCCAAGCATTCCGTGTATACCCATATTTTTTGGTTTTGCGCATGCGCAGTGTCAGAAATTTGGTTTAACGAATGTGCAATGCTAACTTTTTTTTATTTATGAAGATATTTAAAAGAAACTTTGTATGTAAACACTACGAATATAAGTAAAATTAACGACGTTTTCGAAATATTGTTTTGCGCATGCGAGCGTATATACCTACCATCCAAAAAACCAATGACTGATGTTAGTGTAGGTATAATGTAATTAAAGCGGCCATTTTTGTTAAAAATAATAGATTGGATCGCTGGAAAAAAACTTAGAAAATAACTTGCTGCTGTGGAGACATTATTTTGATGGACCATTTTCGGTGATACTCGTGCGTTCAGCGTTGCGCAGGACAATATATAGATGTTTTTGGGCATGAAAGACGTACGTAAGCTTTGGAACCTAGACTTAATTCGAATCCAAGAGAACAATTTACAACCGAGTTTAAATGACTGTAGGTTGAAAGGTCCTAACGGTATTGAGGATCTTCTTTCCGAAATCTTGAAGTATATGGATGGTGAAATTGGACTGGAAGCGGATATTCGAAAGGCATATCAAACCATCTCGTTACGGCCCGAAGATAGAAATTTCAAATTCAAAATTCAAGTGAATTGGACAGGGTAAAAATTAATTACTAAAAAAATAGGTATATTTCATTACTTAGAACTTAGGACATATGCGTAGAGTATGAATTTTCGTTATATTATTCTCTATGACCCATAAATATGTAACAATTGGATACAGTCCCTCTGACTTGTCTAGGTCAAAAGTTTTGGACCAAAATATACCCAAAATGGTTATTTATACAACAATTTGGGTTTGCAAAAGCATTCAAACGCATTGCCTTGATCTTGATGACTGTGTTTCGATTAAAATAAAAAAGATGTTAAATGGTTTTTTTGAGACCATGTGTATTTTGAGCATCACCGGTACTTATGCACCAAGATCCATTTTTGTGACCACGTGTATTTTGATAAATACAGGAAATTAAATATTACGATCGAGATGTTAAAATAAATGCCCAGAAATAGTTATTTGGAAAATGATACATTACTGGCGAGTAAACTTTTGATTAATTTCATTACGCACCTTACCAATGTCACATCAGGACATTTTTCACAATTGACGCAGTCCGGCCATCCACCAGCAATTTGTGTAGCAACCATCCTCTCGCTCCAGTGTTATCTGGTAGGTAATTTTTCGTTGACTCTGAAAACTTGTTTGGAAATTTTTTTGTTTATTTCACGAAACTCTCGGAAATTCCGGTGTTCGCTCTCACCATGTAGTATTAATACCCTGTATTTAACCAAAGTATATCATATTGACAAGTAAATATGGGTACCGTGCGTTAGCGCATTATTCCCATGCTAACGGTTTTACATTGGTAACACGGTCTGCTGTAGTCACCCTACCACTTACGGTACGGTATTTACCATCAGAGCATTCAGAGCTTTGAACAAATCGCATTAATAGTTGGGTGCGCTATTGCAACCACTTTCTCCGTCTGTCCTTCCGTCCGTTCCGAAGCATTAACTACTTCAATATTTAATTCGTTCTTTTTGAATTTGGTAGGTTCTAGCTCTGACACTTGAGCCAAGAAAAAGTTTGACGATTAATGTGTGCATGCTGTGCAATATCAACTGTCTCATTTACAGTTACAGATGCTTCTAGCCTTCTACTAAAGGAAAAAGTAGTCCGTTCTGTCATCTTTTGGCCTTTGGGAAGTACTGATCAATGCATGGAAAATGGGCCAAAGTTGCTCACTTTGGGGCGAAAACCTTTCTACTGTTTAAACTAAGTTAATTCGGATTTTCCTTTACAGGCATCGGCAGAATTGCAACCAATGACTTCTTCTTTACAAACGGGTTAAAGACATGCATAACTTGTATTAGTTCACAAGTGCTTACAATACTATTCACACGGGGTTGAGATTGCAGATTAAGGGTGCTACGTTAACTTGTACTCTCAGACTCCACTCGTAGAAATTTGAAAGATGCGCAACCTTTGTTCATTGCGTTACACATCACTACCTATGATAGTTTCGTTTCCACAAAAGCCAGTTCTAGAGAAATAGCGTACAAAAAATATAAAATGAAGGACAGGTCAGTACAAAAGGAGCACAATACTTTTGCGATTTCGGTGCTACAACAAACTCATATACCTGACATCAGACATCTTCCTCGCTACTTAAATCAACGTGATTCTTTTACAATTTTCTCTTTGTTATTCAAACGTACGGTGTGGTTTCTATTGTAGAAAACGCGGTTGTTGTGGTTCTATATACCTATCGGGAAATTCCAAACACTTGTAATCTGTTTGGAAGTGACAAATTTACATATGAAGAGTAATTATAATAGCATAACCAACCCCTACCTCGGCATTTAATTTATAGCCACAAAATTTCCCCCAACTTTTTGTAAAGGACCAAGAGAAGTATGTGTGTTTACCAAACATATTTTTTAAGCAGTCGTTTCAATGAATTGTGTATGGAGATATTTCAGAACACTTGTGTAGGTTTATTTAAGTATATATTCACCATGGGGAAGGTGCGAGTTAGTCCAACCGATTAACACCGATTACATATTGCGAACGGCGGGAGACCAATAAACAATAAGGGTCCAGAAAATTACTGAATTCATCCGTTGGGTATTTAACAATAGCACAGGCAAACATACAATATAAACAATAAAAAGAACTTCCATAATAAATAGCATGCTGTTTGTGTAGATGTATTATAATCTAAATATGGTAATCATTGGATAGCATTTTACTTCGGGAAGATTTCTTTATAGATGGATAATGAATGAATTTATTCCTTATAATGATGCTCGTCAGAAAAATTAAAATCATGTATCTGAAGCGGAAGGAGTTAAACTTTAACCCTCTCATTATAATATGCACAAAATCAAGTCGGTACAAAATTAAGGAAGAAGTAATGCTATAGAAGTTCTGTTAGTCATCTGTAACCAAATTATTAATTAAAATATTAGATTTTGGTCTTCCCCGAAGGAACATTAAAAATCCGGCCATAATTGCTAGTGAAAGAGATAAGTAGATACTTGAACTAACACTACATATTATGTAAAATAGGCCATGCTAACATTTTGTTTTGCTAGTATTAAAGAGAAAAATTAATACTAAGTAGGTAGCTATTCCAAGATGCCCTGATTGATAACACAAGTCATTTTCCTAATTATAACTTATAAACTGCAGTTAGTTTAGTTACAGGAACCGGCAGCTAAGAAGGCGAGAGCAGGCTACTCGCATATGAGCGCACACCTGGTGTTTATAACATGCGATATGTTACAGCCTTTACTGGAAACATCTTTGTTTAAAATAAGAAATATTTCCAGAACTGAAAAAGCTCAGATTGCGAAATCTGCGCAACCGGACATTAATCGCCAAGATTTTTTGACTCATGTGCCAGAGCTATAACCTAACGAATGCAAAAAGAACCAACTAAATACATTGAAAACTATATGAGTAGATAAGGTCTCGGACGGACGGGCGGACAGGCTCAGAAAGTGGAAAATGCACTAAACAGCGACAAACATGCTAAACAAGATCGCAAACTTGCTCTGGCCACCAGAATACTTGTATTGGCGCCGAGCGTGATTATAACCAATGTGATTTGTCAGTATTCGGTTTTTTCCTTTTTGAAAAATTGGTAGAATTAATGAAATTGAAGGCCAGAACCAATAAGGAATAAGAATTTATTTCTTAATTTATATTTAAGATATTGTACTTTCGCTGTAGCTTTGATATGTACTTGGCGCATAATTGTAGAAGTGAATTTTCGTGACCGTCTCTGTCCTTTTCTGATTTACGTACATTGTTCTTATTTTAAAATATTCGGAACGCAGAGGTTTCCTTAATTATACACATCGGTAAAGCTAAACAGCGAAAACATTTTAGAAAGCCGAACTTATTTCCCGATCATAAAAAAATTAGTTAGGTAAACTACATTCATGTTTTCTTTTTACTCATTGCCAATCAATAGATTTAATTTATTTGAGGTTGAAGGAATGTGTTTTCGATTTATCTATTTCAGGTGAGTCATCTCTATTTGCTAACGTGTAATTTTCTTCCAGCGAGACAATTAAGAGAATAAGAGTCATTTCGTTAATAAATAAATACATATATATATTATTGTTTTGTTTTATCTTCCTATAATCCTACGGTGAAGATTTAGAAAGAGCAAGCCGGAGTAATTCAATACACGAATTTAAGAATCACGTTACCAAATTTAAACAAGTTAAAAAGTCATTATGCAAACATAAATGACGAGCGCGTCTTTTCCTCCTAATAATATTACTGTTAGGACCAGGAAAAAATACCAGTAGGCA